GACTCGTCCAAGCAGTCACTGCAGAGTCAGCAATGACTGAGCGCAGACCAAAAAAAAAAAACAAACATACTTAAATATAACCTTGCAGAAGTATTAGCTGTGCTGGCTAAGAATGAAAAAGTTGAAGTCTAATACATCTAAAAGTTATTTATTTAACCCAAAAATGTATATATCTTTCCATCAAATCACACACCAGATTGAAGAAGGCTGGCTTAAGTATCATAAGCTGAAGTCACTTACCTCCTCAACATTTTCCAGATCATCAAGTCCTTCATCTTCTTCCACATCATCAAAATCATCTCCATCAAAACTGATAAGAGAAATGTATTAATGTTTTATGGGCAATTCTCTAGCAAAACCCTTCATCCCTAAAGTACTCACTTGCTTGTTTCTACAAGCATTGCAACCTAAATGTCACAGCTGATGTCAACACCTAAATTAGCTATCTTGACAAAAATGATGTAGGACTGGACTTGATTCATATGTAGATGGAAGATCACCAGGAAATCCCAGGTTTATAGAACAGGCTGTGAATAGATCACAGAGAAATCAGAAGTGGAAGAAATCTGTCTTTCGGCTTTGTTCTTCCAAATGCAGTGGCACAAGCCAGAAAAAAGAAACATTCTTGTTCTTTTAATTGTCTCTAAATCAACAGGCATGAACTGGGAAACTGAAGCAATTATGTTTCCTGAATGTACTTGGTGATAAGCAATAGCTAGCTATTAGGACTTTCCAAAGTTGCAGCTTTGGGAACTAATATGACCTACTGATTCCTTTCTACTTATAGTTCTAAGAAATTTAGGACCAAACCATACAATGTACAAAACATGAGTTAGGGGATCCATTGGCATGCCTGCTACTATATAACATGCATGATGTAGAGAATGCATTCTATTCCCAAAAACCTTCCACCAGCTCACTGTGAAAAGTTTGAGCAAAAGTATATATTTAATTAAAATTAATACACATATTAATACATTTAAAAGTCAGTTTTGGCTAGTTGTATCCCAATACTACGTTGACAGTTGATTTAGGCTAGACTAAAAAAGAACAAACAGAATTATAAGACAGAAAGGGTCCTTGATAGTACTTCAGCTGCCATATGTACTGAAAGGCATATTGAAAGTGTGAGCTGTCTAGTATCTCAGAATAAATCATGCTAGAGTAGACAGAGTTTTAGCCAGATCCAGCATGACTCTTATATATGCACTGTGCAATTACTCTCTGGTTTCAGTGAGAAGCGGAGAAAGAATATCCTATGCTGGTCAAAAATATTTTTGGAAAAGTCAGTGTGGTGCAATTATTGGAGTAAGACTAGGACTTGGGCTCAGATTTCTCCTTTTCCATGGGGCCTAGGTCACTATTACCTATCAACCCCACAGAGTCATTGCATGGGTAACCATCACCTTGGGACTGGTTCAACAGTGAAAGTGGGATAAATATTTTAATAACAAAAGCAGAACTAATACTAATCATAGCAATACAGGAAAATAATAACAATAGCTGAAATATTAGTATTCCTCCTTAAGTCACGAAGAGTTGAATCAGTGTCTCACAGCTCGATTCGCAGCAGTTCCAGGAGGCTGCTTTCCCAACTTCAGATGGACTGGCTAACCAACCCTTCCTTCCTCCCTCGCCCCGGCCATGGAAATCAGAGGGAGCTCAACGCCCCGGGGATGCCAAATTTGGGCAAAAGGCTGGAAGGTTCGTTTCGTATTCACGCGCTTACTTATCCTCGTTGTCCGACATGCTGAGGCCTTCCCTCGTTCAGTGCAGACTCCCACGGGGCGCGTGAAGAGCCCGAGGATGTTCCCACCAGCAGACACGCAAGAGAAGAGGCAAGCAACCTTCCCATGCTACCACGAGCACTTCCGAGGTCAGTTCTGACGTTAGCGGAAGCGAGCGTCGGATGTGGTTGTCATGGTGACGGGAGCCGCCAATGCGGAGAAGGAAAATGTGAAAGATTTTTCCTTTGCAAACCTCTCTCGCTCCTCAGCCCATATTGCTATCCCTCCAGAAAAGCGGGTTGTGATCGGTCGGAAGATCGGCTACCGTGGGGATAGCTGAGGTGGGTGCCTGCAAGCCGAGAGAGGCACGATTCCACGCGTCCTTTTAGTTGCTGGGTCGCATCTCCACTACGAGGCGTTAAATTGCACCGTGACGTCAGTTACGTTATTAGGCTGGAATAAGATGGGGTTGCAATTGTTGCGATCGTGATGTAGCGCAAATGCCTCGAGATTTTGCCTTTGAAACGTCCATTTTGGATTTTCTACTTGCAGCCCATACATACAGATGTATATGGAGTTGGAACGAGAAAGAAGCGGTCTGCTCTAGAAGGAAAAAAAGATAATCTATTCTGAGGCTTCCCCTGCCATTCACGTAGTGCCAGTTTATGAGACTCCTTCGATTGTGCTACCAAGACAAGGCTTGGGGGGGGGGGTAGTACAAAAGGGACACTTGTACAAGGCTCCTGACATTAGAGCTACTGTATTTGGGCTGCAAAAATCCTGAGCTGGCAGCAAAAACTAGTGGTTGTCTAGATTTTTGCTACCCAGAAATGATAGCTGTACCCATAGGGAGGGGGCTCCATTCAAATTAATTCAATATTTGAAGTTTCCATACCACTTTGACAACTGGAAGAAAGGAGGATTTAAGGAATCTGTTGTTCAGGGTGAAAAGAGGGAGTGCAGAAGCCAGGCTGCTATTCAGTATTAAATTTAAAAAACAAAACATCTGTCAACAGACAATGCCAACTCAATGTAAAAAGCTGGATAAGAAGTTGAAAATTTTAAAAAAATCACAGGGATGGTCACTGTAACCATTAAATACACAGATGTATGCTACTTAAGAGAAAGGCTACAACAAATGTAGACAAAAAAATGGCAGAGACATCACACTGGCAACAAAGATACATATGGTAAAGGCTAAATTTTTGTCAATAGTACCTTATGGCTATGAAAGTTGACTCATCAAAGACTGTAAGAGAAAAGTGTATGCCTTTGAATTGTGGTACTAGAGAAAAATTGTTGAAAATACTTTGTATTCAGAGCCTATTTTCATATCCTAGCCTCCTAGATGTTTCTCTCTTATCAGTTAAGAGAATAGTCTCCATGCCAGTTTATGCAGAGGCCCTTAGTAAAAGACTGAAAAAGTCTCTACCTTAACTACTTGAGGAATTGGGTTCTAAAAATGAAAGCTATCTAGTTGCTGAAATTTATGAAAGAGAATTTATCCTATTCTCTTCAGCATATATTATTTAAAAAAAAATCAGAGAATCTTGCTTTCTGTTGATGTGGGCTACCAAGAGCTTCACAAACAAATGATTCTGTACTGTAATAGTTGACAACAAAACAGACTGTCCATAGAAGGACTAATAATGAAGCTAAAGCTTAAATATTTAGGACGCAAAACATGAAGGCAAGAGTACTTAGTGGACACTTGGATGCTTGGGATAATTGAAAACATTAAAAAAAAGACTGACAGAAAACCAAGTAGCTAAATAATATCTCTGATGATACAAACTTGTGTACAAGAGCTCAAAGAAAGACAGGACTGCCTGTCTAAAAAAATCCACTGAATCCTTTCACTGGGCCATTGTCCTTGCAAATTTAATCAACCCTCCCTCCCTCCCTCCCTCCCTCCCTTCCGCTGCCTCAATTGTTCAAGCAACTCTGGGTGATGTACAGATATTAAGATAATGGTGAGCCAGCAAAGAATGTATTGTCATTATAAACTGTGTTTATATTAATTTATGAAACATGAAAAGACTACTATTTGCAGAAATCTTCTACTTTGCAAGTGATATATTTTGCCTTTCCATTTGAAGATATATTACTTCAATATAGTGTTCAGTTAATTCTGATGTCAATATAAATGGTTTTTGAGATTATATGCAACATTGGCATTTTTTCAAATAGAAGAAAATTACACTGACACAGGAGATAATGAAAATAAAATAGCAGAAGGGAATTCAAATGAGCATGCTGTCTTGAGCTTTTCAAAAAGGTCTTCTACTAGTTTACCAGATGAAGTGATTGGAGTGTTCTGGAATCACACAGCACTTGCCAAGGGCGAACATACAATCCTGGGAAAAGATATAGCAACTTTAAGGAGGTGCAGACAAGTTCAATATTCATATCCTGCATGCTCTGAAAATACCTTTTTACTTAAAATTAGAAGTGCTGCATAGCTTTAAAAAGTATGTGTTGTCACTCACAGCTTGTTAAGAGAAATTCAGAACATACAGTGTTCCTTGGAACCCGTACTGCAGTTTTTTAAAAGATTTTCAAATAAATACGACAAATGAACATTGGTGATGGAATCACGAGGAGAAATGAAGACAGAATATGCATTTGAGATGTGATCTTAATAACTGTAGATCTCTTCATCAGTTTCTTTCAAGGTATTACAATGGCTTCCCAAGAGAGGATCAGGCCTGCTGTGGCAAAAGGCACTGGATTTTGGCATGTTCCCACTGTGAAGGAATATAGCCAGGAAACCCAAGAGCTGTTAAAAGGTAATTAGCAGGCTAAGCAGAAAAGTATCCCAGGAAGTAATGCTCCCCACTCCTGCTTATTATCTTGCTGCATTTTAAAACCATTACTTAATTATTTTATGTGCAAATTGAGGATGTAAGTTAAGGACCCTTAGTCTTGTGATAACTTTATTAACTAGTGACTGTAGGAAAAAGCCTGTGTTGAATTTCTTCCTTAATATGAGGTATGAATTCTTGCATACCTTTCTCCATAGCAGCTAATCATAAAATGTGGTCATGCTGATAAAGTTCTAAGCTGAAAGCCAGTGACAGAAAAATATGGCCTTTTGAATGCTACTTGTAAAGTGAAAAATCCAGAAAAAAACTTCACTTTGGATTTCTGTATTCCAGAAGAAGAAGAAAAAATATTTATTTTGTAGAGGAAAATCCATTGTTTTAATTGGATATGATATTCTGAAAAAGTTTTTTTTAACATTAATTATGCTACAGATCAACATTCTACAAGTGGATGCCCTTCAATTATATTTATATCCAAAAAAGAACAGGAAGACATCAGACTGGAAAAAAGGCTGCCATAGATAGATTGGATTGCAGCTTTTTAGCATTTGTGGGTCCATTCCCAAGGTTTGGGATTCCTTTTTTCTATGTAGGTACTGTTTGTGTTAAATCTACTTCTGCAAAGGTAGTGATGTTATTGATGATGATCTTTATAGATACTTTTTCTGTTTCAGTGATGATGCAAGAATCCAAGCTTACTTGCTTCCAGCAGCGCCATCTTGTAAATTGCATGAAACGTTAAGTATGCCTAAATTTAGCTTTCTCTTTAAAGGCTGCAAAGCTTTTTATTACTGGTTTTTAGATTTCTAAATTCAGCCACATGATCATCTCCAGCTAAAGAAACAAATTATCCCCTTGCAAAGGAAATTTATATAAACTCAGGAAGTGAACAGAACATTAGTGAAATAAGTCACAGTTGATGACTACTTAACAGACTCTAGTTCTATCCAGCTCTCTAGAATCATAAGGAATCTTATGTAAAAATGTGGGAATTTCAGCGTGTATTATAGAGGTAGGTTCAGGGGCTATTTTAATCTTAAGTAATTCTGAATTCATATTAAAGCACACAAATAATTCCTATTAAAGCATACGTTTTTCTTTGTGTATTCACAAGCAAGCCAATTTACAGAATCCCTCCTGAAAAATTAAACTGGAACACATAGTTATACCTAGTAATTTAACCTTGGGTTCAAGTCTAGACACAGCCAAGAATACTACATGGAGGTTTCCAAGAAGCTGCCAGGGACTGAGCTTGACTGAAAGGAGACTTTACTATATATATTTAAAATGGTACACACATACCATCAACCTTACATTTACTTACTTTCCTACCAATCTCTACCCCTTTTTCTTAGGTGGTGATGCTTTGCCCATACGCTGTTATCCAACATCCAGCAGAGAACCAGAGTTTCCAAAGCCTGTATCAACAAAGGTTTTTCTGACCACCAATCCCCCTAGACCTCACCTCCGGCCTGCAGAAATCTGTCGTGCAGGAAATGCATATGTCAGAGAAAAATTCAAGCCTCAAGCCACCCGTAAGCAAGCAGACATTTGCAAATGATAAATTCAGGAATGGAGAGTTAAATAACAGTGATTACACTGATCATTATTTACAGGTAGTCTTTGTTTAGCAACTGCCTCGAACAGCGACCGTTTGCTGTTACAATGATGAAAAAGTAACTTTGCAACCAATGCCCACATTTACGACCTTCACAGCATCTCTCTCAATCACGTGTTCACCATTACAGACAGATAGTATGCATCATCCTGTGCCTGACCTGTTTCCCCTCCCGCAGAGTAGAGAGATTGCCTAAACAAACTATATCTTCCTGAGCTGCTTTTCTTCCCAATGCAGGGGGTCTCTAAAAAGTGCTAATGGCAAGTTAACAAACTCAGCTGTGACCTTAATTACTTGATTAGAAACCTGGGCCTGGGCAGCTGCTGCCTGAAATTGACAAGACCCTAATAAGTGTCACACTAAAGGCTTTTGTTTGTCTCCTAAGCATGCTAGGCAAACAGCCGGCGCTAGCACATTTCTTTCAATGTGTGTTCCCCATTGTGTGCCTGGTTACTGTCTTGTAATCCCTTCCTCTCCAATGAATGTAGATACAAAGATGAATTCTCTTCTTGTTAATTATCCCAGTGCTGAGGTTAGCATTCCAAAGTGGGGAAAAATGACTATAAGATTTGCCCCTTTACCCAGCTTCCTCATGAGTTGAGTTCCGGAAACTTTCCCCCTCATTTGGGTTCATCCACCTGTGTGGGTTCATATCCTTCTGACA